TCCTTTGGTAATAGCCCTTCAGTATCTGTCTGATGCCTTTTATTTAAGTAATACTTGGACAGAGGCACTGTAATGGTTAAGTGCATGGCTCTGGGGCCAGGCCGCTAGGTTTGATTCAGTCATACTCAGTGACCTGGAGCATGCTCCCTGTCCTCCGTTATAAAATGAGAAGAATGATATTACCTACCTCTCAGAATTGATGTGAGGATTAATAAACAAAAACAGGTAAAAAGCTTAGAACAGGGCCTGATGCATAATAAAAACTCAAGAAGTGTTAGCTGTTATTATGAATCTTATACCATAATTTCTTTCCTTGGGGACTTTGTAGATACTGCCTTTTATCATCAGCCATGGCTACAGAAAGGTCTGTGGCAGACTGATTTTTTTTTTCTTTTTGCCAACATATGTGAATTGATTCTTTTTTCCCCTGAGAAAAACCAAAGGATTATTTCTTTGCAAATAACTAGTTTTATTAGGATGCATCTTGATTTTTATTATCCATATATTTTCTGAGCAGTAATACACAACTTTAATCTGTGGATTTAAACCTTTCATCCCTGGGAAGTTTTCTTGAATAACATCTTTGCATATTTTTCATTCCATATTTCAGTCTTTTCCTAAGGGATATCACTGATGCAGATGCTGAGGTTTCTATGTGTTTCATTTATTTTTTTAAGCTAATATTATTTGCTTCTATTTTATTTTCCACACTTATTCTTGATTTTTCCTCTCTATCCCTTAGAGGTTTTCTTTTTCTTTTTTTTAGTAATTTTCCTTGTGCCGTTTCCAATGTAGTCTTTTTTTTTTTATCCAATGCAATTTTTATATCAATGGTTATTTTTTCCTTGCTTAATTTTCAATCAAGAAATTAATGTTCTAACTTTTTTCTTGTCCTATCTTCCCTGAGCAACTGTGGGGAAGTTGTTTTATTGTTTTATACAACAAATATTTTTTTTTTTTTTGAGACAGAGCCTCAAGCTCTCCCCCTGGGTAGCGTGCCGTGGCATTACAGCTCACAGCAACCTCCAACTCCTGGGCTCAAGCGAGTCTCCTGCCTCCGCCTCCCAAGTAGCTGGGACCACAGGCGCCCGCCACAACGCCCGGCTATTTTTTGGTTGCAGCCGTCATTGTTGTTTGGCGGGTCCGGGCTGGGGATTCGAACCCGCCACCTTAGGTGTACGTGGCTGGCGCCTTAGCCGGTTGAGCTATAGGCGCCGAGCCACAACAAATATTTTAAGACAAAAAATTATGATATGTTGAAACACAGATATTATTTCTTCTGGTGAAAAGTTTTTCTTGTGTTGATTCTTCACGGCTATTTTTCTATTTTTTTCACTCCTTTTTTTTATTGGAGGAACTTTGTAAAGATTTTGTGCTGGTCTCATCTTGATTTTTCGTCATCTTTGAACCTAAAGGTCACCCACAAAGTCATCATACTTAGGGAAAAGGGGAAAATGTACCTTCATTTACAAAACACTCACCACAAAATTTTACAAAGACGTGGCCAACATGGAGAGGGTATTCTGTAAAATTCTGTGATGAATGAATATTTTATAAATAAAGGTACATGAGCTACAGTTTCCCCTTTTCCCTATGTCTGGTGACTTTATGGGTGATTTTCAGATACTCTGTAGATGAGGTCTTTCATGATGTTCAAGTTAAGGAGTGGGCCCTAGACACCGTCCAGGCTCGCTGGAATTCTCTTGGATCACATTCAGTTTTCTTTATGACACAGTTTGTCACAGAAGCTCCCTTTAGTCTTTACCTCTCCCAACAGAGATCCGGAACCACAATGCCAAGTTCCTCGTTTTCATGTTGCCCAGATGACAGACTTCTAACCTGCCCACGAACTTTATGGCCACCTTGTATGTAAACTTAGTGGCAGAGCTGAGACTGGGGCCTAATACCTGGGTTGCCAGTTCTTTCTACAACACAGCTTACCTTCCTGGCTTCCTTACTTTATATATGATAGCCTGAATAGATACACTTTTGAAATTTTCAACCTTAATCTGAGCACTTGGCTTTAGATAGTACTTATTTTCCCCATACCCATTTGCCCAGCACTGTAGCGTGGCCACAGAAGCATGATGTATTTGCAGAAGTGTTAATTGGAGAAGAGTTTCATAGGGGTAAAATCAGTAACTCTTTATTTTATTTTATTTTATTTTTTTGCAGTTTCTAGCTGGGGCTGGGTTAGAACCCACCACTTCTAGTATATGGGGCCAGCACCCTACTCCTTGAGCCACAGGCGCCACCCCTATACAATTAGTAACTCTTTAATAATGGGGTTATTAAAAGGGCTTCTTCTTTGGTTTCTTTAAGAGCTGTAAGAAAATGTAAAGAGTTATGACCTAAACTTTAGTAATCCAAAATACCCATCAGAGCTTATTGGAGTGGAATTGTTGGGGACAGAGAGCCTTGATTGAAAGGCAACAATTTATTGACTATGGAGTTAAGGGTGGAATGGAGAAAGGGCCATTCCCTGTTTTTCCAGAACAACATGGCACATTGGAGGCACTGGCTGGTTACCCTGGACTACGGTCCAAATTAGGGCCCTCCAGTAAACAGATCAGGGGGTTTACAGGGTTAAGCTTTAATCATTCTTAAGGCATGGAGGGTTTCATTTTTTTTTTTTTTGTCCTGATTTCCAGGATCAAGAGCTTTAATTTTACATGGTGTCCAAAAAGAGAGAAGTGACCATAAGAAAGCCAGATTGAATTTTCTTCAGTAATTTCACTTCCTTGTTTGGGATCCATTCTTCTGGGCCTTACTTCCCCAATTCCTCAACAAGTGTGTGTCTTTTCTCATGTGCCTAATCCAGCTGAAAATATTAAATAGCTGGACAAGGCTAACTGAACATCATCACAGAGAGTGTGGAAAAGAAAGCAAGCTCTATAGAGCAGTTCACCCCGTACACCGAATATCCACTAGCTGTCCTGACTTGATCTCACTTTCCGATCCATTCAACACACATTCCTGGATCAGTCAGTGTGTGCAAGTCCCTGCACCTGCGTGGGCATACAGTGGGGAGAAAGTCAGCATGTTCCTTGGTCTTAAGGGGCTCTATAGCCCAGCAGTCAAAGTTCCCGTCGTCCCATAGCCCTGTGGAACTTCACCTTGACTGTTCCTGTAAAACTGCCTTCTTTTGAAAGGGAGAATGGTAGTGGGGAGAATGAGAATGATCAGTACTTTGTGGAGTCAAAAGCTTAGACTGATAATCATTTCCAGGAGCTCTGAGCCTGTTCCTGAAGGAAGAGCAGGATAAGAAAGAAGGAAAAGAAAATAGACTGAGAGGAAGGAAAAAGGAAAAAACACAGACAAGAAGAAGCTGCTTGCAGGGCAGGCACGGGAGAGCGTCAGCTGGGATCTTAGTTGACTCATGCTCTGCTTCCCACTGTTCAAATTACCTAACTTCTGGCACAAATAAAAGACACGATAGTTCCTCGAATGTATTTCTTATTGAGGGGATGCAGTTTGTCTTGGTCTTTGGTGATGTGCCCCAACTTTGAGAGAGGTTCCCTGGTGATTCTTCCCACCCATCCCTCTTGGAAATTGGGTTTGTGATTTGGTCTGTTTCTAACCAGCAAGTAATCCCTTTATTTGCTCTCCTCTTCTTGGACAGCCTTAAGCTAACAGTCTTTGAATGATGGAAACCAGCATGGAGTTGCCAGGGCTGGGGAGGTCACTGGTGTCTGCTGACCTCCTTGGGTCCAAGGGAGGAAGGAAAGGAGCCGGCCTGCATCCAGCTAGTCGGAACTAGGCAGAAGGTGCTGGATGAATTTTCCTTTTCAGGAAGATTTTTTTTTTCCATTTTACAGTGAAATTGGAACAGTCCTGGGAAAATGGGACAGGTGTCCCCAATCAAGAGATAGGGCTGTTTACCTAACTCTGCTGAGGGGCCCTAAGGGAGGGGAAGTCTCGACACCAAGAAAATTAAAATTTTCCGATCAAAAGATAGTAGTCTCTGCAGGTTGGGGATCAAAGAACTGGCACCCAGGCCATCCTCTGACAGGTGGACAAGGTGGGGGGGCCGGGCAGGCGAAGTACACCTAGAGATGGAAGCGAGAAGGGAATTCTTTAGGGTAATCTCCCCAAGCCCATGGGGAGGGAGGCACCTGCGCGCCACCCGGGTGGGTACCCTGCCACGCCAGCTGCTGGTGGGTTCGAGGAGGGCGCCCTCCTTCGAGGAGTCTGTGGGGGTAGACGTTCACTTTTCACCAACTCTCCGGGAGAAGGGGAGAAGGCAGGAGGGCCACACCGGTGATTGAGGCCAGGCCCGCCGTTCGCTCCAGCCCACGGCCGGGGCAGCCCGCGAAGTCCCCGCATCCCGATACTCCCAGGAGTTTTGCTCGCAAAGGGACCACTGGGCGGTTGGCGCGTCCCGCGCGTGCCTGCCTGGAGGCTCTTAGATCCCCTCCCCACCTGGCCATCCCGAAATTGACGCGAAGCCGATTTGGTGCAATGCGAATTAGCTCCAGCCACCCAAGCCAGCGCCCGCCGCCGCCTCCAGCCCCGCCGCGGCCGCCCGTCGCCATGACGACCGGCCCCCGCCCGCCCCCGGCCCGACTCTGGGCCGCT